TGCGTGCCATCCGCAGGTAAATGGAAAAACAGAACGGCTAAACAAAACAATCGCCGACATGATCCCCATGTATGTTGACGTAGAGCACAAATCTTGAGACGAAGTGTTACTTTACGTCACGTTTGCTTACAACACGGCGGTGTAAGAGACCACAGGAGTAACCGCGTTCCAGCTGGTGCGTGGCAGAAAAGTAACGACCATGCTCGACGCAATGCTACTCCACGAACCAGCTGACGATGGGATCCCAGACGCCAATGTGGTTATTCAACGAGCCGAAGTTGGGAAGCTCGCCGACTCTGAATTCAAGATCAACAACGTGTCGACGCTGCCCGGTACAACTTTCGCCGGATCGACGTTCGCTTCAAGCCCGGAGATCGTGTGTGGGTTTGGACCCCGTTACGACGACGCGGCCTGAACGAGAAACTCCTGAAGCTCTACTTGGTACCCTACAAAGTGCTTCGTCGACTCGGGGATCTGAACTACGAGGTGATGCCCGACGGAACAAGAACATCATCACGTCGCCCATCGGGACCTCAAATCGTCCACGTCGTGCGCCTGAAGCCGTTCTACGCTCGACAGTTTGTGGACGCTATGTGTTCAAAATAACTCTTTAGTTTGCCGTTATTTTGATTTGCTTTGTTTTTCTTTGTGCTGTATCGGAGCGATGCATTTTTTAAAGGGGGAGTAATGCAGCGCGCAGCTGGCCAACTAGTCAGCGCGGCCGTGACCTAATCGTTACCGTGCTTGCCCCTTAGGCGAAGAGCCAGGGTTCGATTCCTGGGAGTGACGCGTGTTTTGTTTGGTTTTGCAGTTCAGTGTTCTGGTAATTTCGAGAAACCTGTTACTTGTTTGCGGTCCGAATGTTCTACGCGTCGAACTTACTACGCCGATTGTTCCAGAAGCCCACGGGTGTACATAAGGGGCTCCGCGTGCCGAGCCGTAGTCAGTCTCGCCGTTGTTATCCTCTGTTTCCTTTTTGGTTTTGGGCACAAGTTCGGCCCATTAAATACTTCAATTTCCTCAGCTATTCTTTGTTTCGTCACCTAATCATTTGTGAAAAACTTTCGCAGCATCATATCCAAACAGTTTTCAAGCATTTTAAGAGGCGTAGTATTTTTGCGGGCCGAAGTGTTGGATTTGATTTTTTTTTTCTACAACATTAGAAGTCATTTTTAAAACTACCGGAGCAGTGCCGTTTCGCATTATTTACCACCATGATATGGCGTCTGAATAAGAACAACGAACCTCTGTTCTTATATCGTAAAAAGAAAGCAGAATGTGACAGGAGAATTTCTTCAGTCTACGAGGTATATAAGGAGACATTCTTATGCGCATATTTTACGAGGGACATGCCCCTCTAGATTTAGCAGGATCTTTTTTTTCACGGCGAAATTCATGAACAAATAAATTCGTGCATATATTTACACCGGTTCCGGTTTCCCCACGACATTTTACTAGAACTACGTTCTCTCAATATAGGGATGGTCTCTTGTCATTCGATTTCAGAATGCACAAAAAATAAAACCCCAAGCGGCTGTTCAAAACACGGTGCACGTGTTCTTTTTCTTCCGACTTTATTCATTGAGTGTAAAATAAAATTACCTAATTTCGAAATCTTAGTCCTTCCTGCATATTTTATTTGCAAAAAAAAATTGTGGTGGTGATAAAAAAAATACGCGAAGAATAAAATTATAAATCTCGATGAAAGAAAAGTCGGGGTTAAAAGTTTTTATCAGTTTTAAAAGTACCCCGACATAATAAGGATGTACATGAGTTTTTAAGAAACCAGGAGCCTTACAGTCTCGTGCGTTGCAAAACGTAAGTCAAGAAATCCCCTCAGAAATAATGTAATATGTGCAATGTTCAGGCGTGTTTCACTTCGAAATTCTGAGACGATGTATTCACCCGTCCGTTTTTGTTTACTGAGCATTTTAGTAGTGAAACAATTTTGAGAAACCGGGACATCAGCACCAGTCAGTTAGTTTCTTGGGGTACAAACCTTGGGGGTAGTCAAATTTTGTGACAGAAAGCAGTATTAGGCTTGGTCAAAAACTTCGACCCTTCTTCAGTTTATCCACCATTGTCATACGAGAACTCTACTAATTTGTTAGAATACTATGCGAGAAAAAACCGAATCATTAGGCCGTTGAAACATCCTCTCACTCTATCGCAAATAGGGTTTAATTTTTTTTTTCTTATGAGTAACATTTTCGCTCGAAACTCCAACTGGCACTAATGCTAGGCAAAGGCTCAGTGTTCGGGTAGTGGAACTCTTTCATAACTGACTACAAAATATTTTAATGCGTTAAATGAGGGCTGTCGAAACTAAGTTCACCACTCAATTAGCCCCACAGATGTACCCGACATGCTCTGCTGTATTGTGACTGCTCGACGACGTGCAATGCTGCCTTCCTGTGACATCTCGAAATTGAAAAAAAATTGGTTGAAATTTGCATGTTAGTTTTGGCATCATCTTTATGCACCATTTTCTTAACAAACTCTTGCAAATTAAGTAAGATAAACTAATCTGCTGCTATTACTAAAGCAGGAAAGGTTAATAATTGGTACCGTTTCAGTACTTCAAATGATTGTTGCTGTAATCCTTAAAGTGGGGTGAAGCTGTGGCCCTGGATATACCATTGGGCTAGGGCAGCCCTACACGGCATCAAATTTAGATCACAACAATGCAACGGAAGCGCTGGTATTACGTATTTAACTCCTGTTCCTTCCAGTTTTGGTGCGAGTGTACGAAGTTTGTGAGAGAAACAGCGGGTTTTTAGATTTACATGCCAATCAACACATAGCCTAACTTTTTGTTTCCTACTATTGTACCTCTAGGGGTTAGAGTCAGACGGCAAGTGTTTAAACATTACCGTTAAAAAAATAATATTAATCACTTTTTTTAGGGTTTCAAAAAAATTTGCATTGAACGGAATTTGCAAACTCATATGTAGTAATGTCGTCTGCTACCAAAAACTGGACTGGCAATTCATTGTTAATTTTCAAATCTCATGTATGCTTTCATATAAAATAACCAAGCGTTTTTAAAACTAGGCATTAGGTACCGATGACCAGGTTACAAATCTGCATTTGCTGCCAACAACAATGTTTGGATTCTTGGCCTCTCGCATAAATGGGCAGAAACTAAACGTTCGAGAATGCGTAGGTTATTTTTGGGCGTGACCTAAACATAACTTTATGTTCTTCCAAAAAGCGTGGTTAAAACTACAGTTGTTCATGGGTGCAAATATCGATGCAAGGTTGATATTACCTTAGTACCTTTATAAGATTAGCAAACAGCTCTAATATTTAACAGAGAGGTGTGACTATTACTTCAGAACGTGCTGTATTTCTGGTTTCTAAAATGCGTATAAGCAGCCCACTCTCTCGCCTTTTTTTCCGTCAGTTTACCATTTAGTAGGGAGCACCAACGATCAACAATAGGTACGTTGAATCCTGCCAATTTGTATTTAAAAAAATCAATGGCTGTGTTTTTTGGTTAGCATTCCCGCCCGGAAGGTGAGATGTCCAGATTTGAAATCTTGAATCCGCCATAAATTTTGACTTGCACCGGTTTTGTAAAACTTTGATACAATCGATTAAGTAGGGTTCATTCATTTGAATAATTTGTATTATATATATATATATATATATATATATATATATATATATATATATATATATATATATATATACAGGGCTTTTTTGTTTAAATCTTAACAGATTTGTATGAAAAAGCCGTGAAAGTTACACTTATGCCGCTTGTGGAGGTGAGTTATACGGCCAGGGGGGCATATTATAGGGGGCTAATCGTAACGATCGGTCGGCTAGTTAAATAGAATTCATCAATTAACTTTCTAATTAATAAAAATAGACATATAGTTCCAATTAGAAACTTTCTCAGCGTTATCGAAAACCACTAAATCAGTCATTTTCAAAAAGACTTTGAGCGCGTGAGAAGCGTAGTATTGTACTGAATTTACCACTCGTGGAGCTGGTACAAGGCTGGGGCGAGATAAGATACGGAAAAATCGCGCGGGGCGCCTTACCGCAACCGCTGGCTTTGTACCTGATCCACGAGTGGTAAATTTAGTGCACTAGTACGCCTCTCACGCGCTCAAAGTCTTTCTGAAAATTACTGATTTAGTTATTTTCGATGACGTTGAGCAAGTTTCTTATCGGAACCATATGTCTATTTTTATTAATTAAAAAGTTAATTAACGAATTGAGTTAATTAGCCGACTAATCGTTATGATTAGCCCCATATAACATGTCCCCCTGGTCGTATAACTCGCCTCCACAAGCGGCATAACTTTCACGGCTTTTGTTAAACGAATCTGTTAAACTTAACAAACACCAAATATATATATATATATATATATATATATATATATATATATATATATATATATATATATATATATATATATATATGTATGTATATATATATATTTCCTTTCATGTGCTAAAGACAGTACCATGTTGAACTTCAAACGTAATTTAACAAGCATAATTACTATTATTATAATGCAATTAAATGCAAAGGTGCAAGCGAGCTGGACAGTAACGATGAAAATAATCCCTGGAGAAGGGGAACAAGAGAGACAAGGGACAAACACAAATCTCCAAACAGAGCTAGGTGACTGATGCGCGACCGAAAAAATCCGCCTGGTCCGGGTATCGAACCCGGGACCTCTCCACAGGTGGAGAGGTCCCGGGTTCGATACCCGGACCAGGCGGATTTTTTCGGTCGCGCATTAGTCACCTAGCTCTGTTTGGAGATTTGTGTTTGTCCCTTGTCCCTCTTGTTCCCCTTCTCCAGGGATTATTTTCATCATAATTACTAGCCACCTCTTCCTTAGATTTGTATACCACACCATCCCCGCTACGCTTCCTTGAGCTCACTCGGCTTTTGCATAAAGTTGACTTCCGCGAATCTAAAAACAGCGAAACATCTACACTGATACCACAGTATTTGATATAAGAAAATCTATTTTCAGGATGCACGATTATCTGTGGTATCTGCTCGAAATACAAAGTAACCGTTCATTCAGTTCAAGGATTAAGCGAGTCAACATCTGCACTATTTATAGCTCATGAATTGGGTCACCAGTAAGTACTTTGGTCTGAATGTCTCATCTCAACCCTATTAAACAACATCCTGTCTTTGGAGTCATTTAAATTATCCGTTCTATTCTTGGCATATTAATATCATATACGCCCTATAGCCTATTAACACAGAGAAAGAGAGAGAACAGCAAAACTTTTTTAACTTGGCATCGAACAGGTTTCTATTCCGGTTTTGTTTAGAGTCCGGTTCAGTAGATTATATTAGTTTCCGTTTTGTTTCCCCGGAGTCAGGCATGCGAATCATCGGTTAGGTCACAGTTTCCACCATATGCCAACTGGCTCAAATATGGTCATATTTATGCCTTAGACTCCTGCCGCCCATGCATTTTAACGGTAATTGGCGAGGATTATAGTGCCTCAGCACACCAAAATAGAGCTTTCTTATTGGAAATAATATAAAATCGCAACACAAGAAACACATCTAGGACCGGCTACCCAACATTGGCGAAATGCGTTATGTTACCGAGCGTATCACACACACGGTAATTTCCTTGCAAGTGCTGATAATATTTAAGGAACACAGTGGGTAGATATGTATATATATATATATGTATATATATATATATATATATATATTTATTCTTTTGACGTACAGTAACCACAGTAACGTTGTCACAGTGCTTCGTGCTAAACAAAATATGCTGAGTGAAATTACCTTTCTAACAAATTTAAATATAAAAACATGTACGCGCGCGAAAATATTTTACTTGTTTTTTTTCTTAAAATTTTTTCATCACATGTAAAAAATTAATAAACTAATTTGAGGTGAAGAGTGAAATATTAGTTTAGTCATCTTAAATCTTTGACTATCTTTATTTTATGAGATTGAATACCTTAGCTCCTTGTCAAGCCATGAAGAAATACAAGTAACGCTAAAGGTCTAACACCGCGGAGCGCATGATCTAGTTATTTATTCGTGCGGTTCAAATTCTTATGAATGTGTCTGTGTCTAAAATAAAGCGGAAAAGAAAACACCAGTAAGATTTAAAATTCATTTTTTTAAATATGGCAACTAATAAAAAAGTATATTTATATGAATGTAGAATGAGCGGTTTCAAGTAAAAATAAAAAAACCTTACCCCGGATGAACTGAATGCGGCACTGATATCTTTGTCTTCGGCATCCATAGCAAGGAAAATGTAAACATAGCCTTTCTTTCATGTACAGACATTCACGTTTTTATTCACGAACTTTGACAGTATCTTACAGTCGACGTGATAAAAATTGTCGAGCTCCTGAAGGTTATACAACATTGTAAAGACGACACAATAGGACGGTGCAAAATTAGAAGGAACAAAACAGGACAGACGCAGGAGAGACATAAGTACTAGTACATTTTTCCTCTCCTTTTGCAATGTTTTTAATAATGTTGTTCAACAACACTGTAGCCCAGCAATCCACCGTTTTAAAGATTTTATGCAATCCACTATAGGCAGCGGGAGACGCCTACGTTGTGATGGACTTGGACGCCAACGACGCCACATGTGTTATATTTTACGCCATCGGTTAGTACATAGTAATTGTGAAAAGAAAACGACAAGATTGCGTTATCGCAATGCATAAAAATCGCAAACGCAATTCTGCGCACGTGCTCATGGCGATCGTGACAGCATCCTTTAATTCCTCAATTTAGTTGCTCAACAATATCATTTACAAATTCGTGCCGCTAAAAAAATAGAGAAATTCCAGCCATGAAGGTGTTTTTTGTTGTTTTTTTATCCTGAGATAAAAATTGCTTTCTACCCGCCGTCTTCTGCTTTAAAATTCGAAAAGCAAAAATATAATAATCAAATCCCGGTCTTGAAAAAAATACAGGATAATAAATATGTGAATTTGTTTTTCCGTTCGGTGAACCCCACGTCTTATCACAAACACAACAGTATGTCAAATACAGGTCAAAGCAGTAGATAAAAACAGAAAGCAAGTAGAGTACTCGTAGGCGAGGCACGAGCGCACCGTACTCTCAAACTCACCATGTCCGGGAACAGCGTAACCTAGTTGAACTTAAGGATACGAAAAGCTTACCAAACCTCATTTCAAATGAATATAAAAACATGTTTCAAGGTTGTATTCTTAGAAACAACTATATATATATATATATATATGATGGTTCAAGTCACCAGGCTTGATCTAGAATAGACCGTAAAAATCGACGCCTGCACGTAGCAATCTAAACTTTCCGTCAAATGTGTAATTCACCAGGTCGGTTTTTCTTGTAAAATTACACAAGAAAGATCCATGGATAGAACAAAAAGAAGGAAATGTTTATTTGACGTCCCAAGAGGAGGCCTCTCTTCTTCAGAATACACACACACACGCACACACACACACACACACACATACATACATATATATATACATGCTTCCATGAGCCATCTATACAGTCCAGCGTTGTGAACATCTAGACTACGCACATGCTCGTCGCACCAATAATATCGAAGGTCATGCGTATCTCACATCACATTTAATTGACTTGGATACCTCATAGCATACTTCAAATCCATCGACAGCTACGAAAGAGCTAAACGGGCCATTTGACTTCAGGAGCTCTCGACTACGGTATTGATCTATGTTCCAGTTCGACACAATTCCTCCTTCTGATATTCTTCTCGTATCGGGTGTTGGTTCGTTTTGAGATCCTGGTTAAAAAGTACCGTGCTCAAGCTTGTAGATTTAGCTGATGTGCTGTTCATGCTTCGATCCTGTCTTTTTTTTTGTTGTTTTTTCTTACAACATGCAGATTGGGAATGAATCACGAAGAACACCCTGGACATGCTGGTCTTGACTGTGGCCCGGGTGCAGGATATGTAATGGCAGCTGTATTGGATACGCCAGGACGCTCTGTATTTTCTCACTGCGTCTATGACAAGATGAAGAGATGCCTAATGTAAGATATTTTGATATACTGCTCGCAACTTCAATTCCCGAAGATAGTGGATACTGGTTGAGCATCCCTTTATAACATTACTTTGCATAAAATTAATGCTGCATAGTTTTGTCAAGAATATCAAAATAAAAATATAAAAGTGAGAAAAGGAAAAGGGCGAGTGAAGATGAAGGGTTGTGATTATCTTATTCCTATTGAATTAGGGTATATTTAGTCTGTCTGCAGTAGTATTTGTGATTGACTGATTTGTAAGCAAAAGTAATTTTGAACGAATTAAGCGCTCGTTGTGTGCTTCAAAGTACACATAAATAAAACAGTAAACGAGCACCAGATGCAAACCCCCACGCAAGCTGGCGTAAGGTTTGTCGGTTTATTATTCCTCTAACTCCCTGGCATCCACACTCCAAAAAAACCAGCACCCATGGATGCCGTTTTTTTTTCCACTGAGTCAAGATTGTTGTTTTTTCGAAAATGCGATATAGTTTTTGGTGTTGTCTTTAGCCATCTAGTAAGTTAGTGTTTATGGTGGCCGCTAGAAAATGCATAAACTGGTTTAGCAGCAGGCTACATTAGTATAAACTCATAAGAATGCGTGAAATTTGCACCTTTTGTTTTTGTAATTGTATGGAAAATTTACGATTTGCCCTTTTATATTTAAGCCCTGACTTCCAATAGAGTCCTTTCGAAAGACCACCTTCAGTTGGGAGATGCGCAATTCCTGCTCAATTGCAGACAATGACCGCAACGCCACGGCACAGTTTTGTGATGTGTTGGATTAAAGGCAGAAGCACACTCACAAAAAAAAAGGAAATGAGCGCAGGGACATTTCATTTTCGACGCTGTTTGATTGGCTCGTTCACTCCTAGCGTTGACCGCGCTCTGACGTTCGCTATCTTATGGGATAACTGGCACTTTCCACGATTTTATTTGTTACACCACTGTAGGGTTGTTCCGACCTTCTAATAATCTGCCACTGACTTTCGAAACGGGTCCATTGCATTTATGCATTCGCGTGTTTTTTTGGTGGTAGGCCTCGGGATCAGGACTTTTACATGCTTCGTAGCATTTGGTGTTCAAGTCTGAGGAAGTGAATGAAAGTAAAAACTAAAAGGCGTTCCGTCTATTTTGAATTTTTAAGCTTCCGGCCATAACCATGGCCATCGTATTTTTACGGACGAGCTTTTAGAACAATGTTCGGTCTTGGGAACAAAAGTGTCATTGTTCGCTATTTTAACAAATTTACTCACACATGTTTTTTAAAGTGTAAAACCAACCGAAACTATAATATTTAAAGATTTACAAAAGAGCACCTAAAAAGCTTTAAAAGGTATCTAATAATATCTCCAAAGAGCGAAGGACCTTATACAATTTTACCATGTTGGTGAACAGGCAATTTCAGCTTGCCCTGAAGACTACATGCTGTTTAAATCCTAGTTCATCTTGAGACAGGCAGAGATGGAGCATTGTTTCGGTTTAGGACAAACGTCTTAAGTTGCATTGTCCTGTTAAACATCTCGTTGTAGTCTGGTACACTTTGGTGGTCATTCGTAGCTGATATTGTTTTTCCCAACCTGCTGCAGACACTACGGTATAGAGAAAAACGAATGACTAGGAAACAGAAGCGATTCAAACAAAAAATCGCCAAAAAGCGTTTAGAATTGTAGTTGTTGCAATGAAAAGGTAAAAAAAATGAATAGCTATACTGAAGGCGCTTATTGTAAGGGTTGACTTCTCCGGATATAGCGCAGTCCACAAGTCCCCATAAGCACCGCCTTTTTGTGTACGGTAGACGCTTGGTTCTTTATCATGTATTCTCGAATTTCTGGGGCCATTTGCGCCCACAATATATATTTTATGTAAATATCCGAATATAAAGTACACTAAAGGATGAGTGTTCAAATCTTCTGGGTTTTTTTCAATTCATGTTATGGGATCATTCAATACTCAATTCTCAAACCAGCCGAACTTTTCTCAACAATTGTTGCTTTCTTGCAACAAATACTTTCTCTGCCCTTTACTTATTTGAATGTATAACTGGCTTAATGATAAACAGATGCAAGAATATTTTCACAACAAAAATACAGATACCTTGTTTTCGCAAAAGAGACACACTGAATGGTGCAATGAGTTATATGAAGTAACCCGCCAAATCCAATGCTCTAGCCAACCCTTTTTACTCATGCAAACGTCGGGTCAGGGACACCAGCATTCGCTTAGAGCGCACTCAGCATCAACGGCAAAGCATTCTGTTCAAGTGTGTCGCCCAGTTGTGTATGCAACCGAGTGTTTTGTCCATTCGTGTATGAGCCATTCTAGGTAGTTTTCATGGGCCGAGCTCATTATATATATATATATATATATCTTGCTCTTCAGAACGAGAACCAGGTCACAACCAGGTGCCAAAGTTGAGAAACTTTGCCACCTGGTTGTGACCTCTAGCGCTACATTTTGGCGGAAAATAAACATTCGGCGGTGCATAGATCTTTTTGGCGGTAAAAAAGCCATGTAAACTTTTTTTTGTGACACCCCGTACCTCAGCAGCAGAGGGTTCCAGTACAAACATGTTTTGAGAAAAGGGCAGCATTCCACTTAGCATTGAAAGTGTTGTAGTATACAATCTTTCTTGCCATATGATTTTTAGGAAGAATTGAAGCTCTCAGGGGAGAGCGAAGGTGCGCTAAAGTTTCTACTCATGCAGTCGGAAAAAAGTTGGCGGTGCCAGAACGAGGGCGATATCCTTATCATCGGTATTATCAGACCGTTAGTTCTGCTCCTGCTGCAAGAGTGGTAACGTTAGTACACCCCGTGGCTTTACCATGTCAGCATATACCATGTTATGGTATGTGCTGATTTCGTTTCTTGTGATAACATTCACCAAGCTTTTGCTAGAAGCAATTGGCTTTTTTTATCTCCTGATATGACTTTAGTTTTTTTCTTTTTTTTTTCTCACCCAACTATTTGTAAGAATTATTTTAGTCTTACTGGCAACACTCGACATTTGTATTACAGATTTTAAAAAGCCGTTATATCTAGAAGCATACGGTTTGCGCTGGTGAGCTATGCGCACCCCGATACACAATATAGAGGATAGTCCTGTCTAGAAGTTCGTGAATTACCTAAAATTTGGTAAATAAATAATTATTTTCTAAAAATTAAATACAAAATTTTTTTGACAAACTTGCAGAGCGTCATGAAAAGCTAGTAAAATAGCCAATATTAGAACTCATTGTGGAGCGTGGGAAAGGCGGTAGCGCGCTAAGTTACCACCTGTGGAAGACACGCAAGGCTATAGGTACAAAAACGCTGCCGCGAGGTTTTCAAATGTTCTATTATTCGCAATTTTGCTCTGTTTAATTAGCGCTGTTTCCCCGACTGGTAGGTTTAGCGCACTACCGTAGTTTCAAGGCAATCCGAATATTTTTTTTTAAACAAGACATGTTTTTTAACGCTACCCCACAGTACCACAATTTTGACCGTCCATTCAAGCATTTTCCGCTAAATTTAGCGGGGAATATGGCGTTACGTGACTTATACACCTTGGCGAAATTGACGGCACGTGACCAACATATTATTTCAATTACCCGTTAAATTTACCGGGAAAATTCACGTCTTGTGACCCAGACACCAATTTCGATTATCCGCTAAATTTTGTGGGAAAAATTGACATCACGTGACCTAAAGACACTTGACATTTACAACTATTCAATTTTCCCGCTAAGTTTAGCGGCAAGATATACGTAACGTGACACAGTACCTTTCCGGGCAATTCTGAAGAAATTTCGTGCATAACAGGACTTTAAATGTGAATGTCACTGGCAATTTTGTTTCTTAGTTTGCTGATTTAATTGTTTTTGATGGCGCTCAGAAATGTTCTGTTTTGAACCGCATGGTTCTTTTCACTACCTATCCCTCCACATAATCTCCCCCTCTCCGTAAAACCCAGATGCATAAACCATATTAATGTAAATTTAATGTTTTTTTCTAAACATGTCATTCATGACTCAAAACAGCCAGTATATACTTTTATTGTTTTGATTTTTATCTTCGCTTTTAACATTGTGGTCTATTTCATAAATTTACCGAGTTCAAGTATTATCGACATTGATGTTGCTGAACTATCGCAACATTAAACTATGTAATTTTGTGTTTGCTATCGATTTTCTGGTTACAGCGAGAAAGACCAAAGGTGCTTTGAAAAGACGGCAAGAATGCAACTCTAGGAGGAAGATTACAGAAAGTCCATATGGAGCACCACTCAATTACGTATAACTTCCACTTAAAAAAAAGTATACAATTCTTTTAGGCACAGTACGAGCAAAAAAATAAATATTAATTATCACAGCATAACTGCGAGTCAGTTTAGTCAATTGAGAACGTCGCGATATGCATAACCAAGATTCCGGGACAGGGCGGCATAGTTTCATGTTTTTACGCCTCGTGCCTTAGCACCAATATCGGGCTGCAGCCGTTTGTGACAAAATGGTGCATCATGCGTCAGTTGGAACAAAGGGGAGGGGGGGGGGGAAGTAGTGCTTGGTGACTGCAAAGAGCTATGGGCTATTTTCTAGTCCTGCAGTTTATATTGTTTACACCAAGACACTGAAAGTGTGGATATCGGTTTTATTTATAATCTAATATAATCTAATACGAAAGATATAATCTAATGTTAATTTCATTTTCGAAAGTTGGCCATATACGGTATTCATATTTAAAATGACTACGTCACTCGGCTATATTTGCACCCTGCATATGTAAATGTGTAAATTACCTGTGCTTGGTTAGCACCGTTCTAATTTGCGCTACGCTCGCTCATTCGGTAAAAGACTCACTATAAGGCAAGTCGTTTTAATAAATACCTTCATAAATATGTATGAAAAACATTGAAAAACTACATTTCTGAGTCACCTGCGCGGTCTACAAAACTAGTGATCCCAGGAGATTCAGAAAGAATGCATTCAGGTGAATTAGTTTGATCTATTAATAAACATATTTTTAAATTGTCGGAATGCACACGATGTTTGGGTGCACTCAGAAATGGCTAGTCGAGTATTTTGCTTCCAGAAAAGAAGAGGGACAAAGTTATTGAATAGTTCTTGTTCATTTGATAAGAACACTAAAAATACTGCCATGTCCCGACTCATTGATGTAGGCTGCTTTGGGGTAGCAGCGCAATCAAAAAGAAACTTTCACAACGACCTAAAAAAAAGAAACAACCAATGAAACACAGTTACAATTTCCTGTAACGCCGAATCAGAGAGCAGCTTTTAAAAAGGAGGAGGGGAGGGGATGAAGAGGAGCGTCACGTGTGACGTCACGAGGGTAACATTTTTCGGCGAAATTTGGGGGGAAAGTTTTGCGGAAACCTTTTCCCGCTAAATTCAGCAGAACAATATTCCCGGGTTGAGTGGCGTCAAGAGGGAAAAATGTTTTCGCTAACGTTAGCGGGAAAAATTTTTCGTCAACATTAGCAGGGAAATTTTGCCCTCGTGAAAGTCCCACGTCACATCACGTGTCACGTTATTATGGGAAACGTTTCATAACGCAACGGGCGATTACCCCGATGGCAGCGCCGCTCAAGCCAGAAACAGGAGCCGAAGAGCTGCGCTCTAGACGAATACTGCAGTTAGATTTATTACGACATGAATCCAATGTCTGTTCGCATCAAAATTTTACTTCATGTATAATTTTAGTCATGGCGTCATTTTGTTTGTGTCGTTACTGCCTACGTGCATATTTTCAACACCTTTTAATGTATTTGGTAATCAAACAAAAGCGGTTGGTGACGCCCTTTGGTGTGACGCTATTTGATAGAGGGTAAAGGCAGGTTCACAATGTTGCAACCGACTAGAACAGAGTGCAACAAAACATGTTTTTAAGCCCCTTGTGACAGCTTACGACCGTGCCGCCGAGCAGCAATGGCGGTCGTAAGCGACTTAATTCCCTCTTTTGGTAGACTCAGCCGTAGCCCTTTGCAGCAGTGTGAACCAGACTTAGCACGTCGCAGGCTCACTGCAGGGTTTAACGAACATTTTCACAAACATTCGGACTGTGCCCAAGTGAGTATGCAGATAACTTGGTGGAGCAAACATCAAAATTATACTTGAATGGATTTTTATTTTATTTCCAATCATCCAGGCAGTTGCGTTTCGCGATGGTTCCGGCCTATGAAGAGGCAACATCTACACTGAAAAAGTATTCATGGGCTCCCTCGTGCACGTGTGCATGCGAATGGGCTCATGGGCCGTTCGGCAACACGCTTGCATGAGCGTGAAGAGGAATTATGTCGGAACGTTACTTTGTAAGCTGTCGCAGCGGACATTGATCCCTTCTGCGCAGGAGGAATTCAGTAGCTGTTTTTCACTCCGCAGTGGCGTAACGGTATATCATATCCCTTTGTACAGGCTGAATATGCGCCAGTGAACGCGCACAAATAATTACGAATACAAACAAACTGCAAATACTAAGCACAATGATTACTGTTTGGTTGCTATGATTAACGTTAAATATTAATAAAAAGGTTAAGAAACACCTGATTGTTGAGTTGAGAAAGTGTAAATCTTACTTGTGTAGTACGCGTACATGTGACCTCTTGAACGGCTGTGTTTGCTATTGGATGTTCTGAGCATAGACAAATGGCCATGTCTGCTCATTTGTTTCAAATTTTTCGAAAGTACACATGCCCAAACACTTGTCATAAGGCATTTTACTACTTTTTACTGCACCCGAGTGAAAACTGTCAACGTTTGTTTACACAAGTAACGCCTATCATAATTTATTTATTAATATTTTGTTATTAGCTATAGCAGTAATATTCCAATAACACGCACTATTTCTGTTGGTAGTTTTAGTACTAGTTATTTTCTGAATATATATTATATACCAGGTTGGTGACTGTGCTGAAGTGAATTTTATGAAATTGGGTTATCAATATATGTAAAAACTAACCAAGCGGTTTTGTTTGATATATTTCAATGTGCACTGGCGTACAGGAATTAGCCATACCAATTATCACCTTGTGGTGAACTATAGTAAAAATATACGAGCCGCGATTTTCCATCAGGAGCCAGTTCGATGCCACGCGGTATATTACCCTGGCGTCATTATATGAATGCTCCGCTTTTAGGCGGATATCAGATCAATAGCAAATGGTTTCCTAACTGTCCTCTGACGGGACTGAGGCTGTAGTCTATCGGAGATTGAGAAGAAGTAAACCAAACCTACCGAATAAAAGAAAGAGTATAACGTTCCATCATCTGGATTATGAAACTGTAAATCTATCTGGATTTTATCAGGATTTCAGGTTTTCAGAAATTATTTCTGTGTCTGCATTCTTATTTTATTTTTTCAAATAATAACTGCAGTTCGTTTTTCATTTTCATAATCCATTTAGTGAAACGACATTATACTTGGTTTTCCGGTATGGAAAGTAAGTATGAAATGAACATTCATACCTGTGACCTCAAAGACATCCCGCCTTATTAAAAAAAATATATATATATACAAATCAGCGCTTTGTTGAGACTATAGTTTGTGACGGTCCTCAAAATCCCCAGCCATGTTAACCTCACCCTTAAGCTTAGAGTGCAATGGAAGCTACGTACTCTTTGGCCAGTCGTACGTCTATGTTTCATGACGTGCTCGCGCTCTCCTGCTTATACCCATTGGAAAAAGGTGGAGTCAAGAAACGAGTGGGAGGCGGTTTATTGGTCGGGCGAGCTACTAGCATCCACCACACACTCAGCTGAGGGGTGCATGCTTAAAAAAGGAAAAGAAAATAATAAAAACAAAGGACGTTTTGTTACAAAACAGTAACTTGTCGTGGTCTTTTTGTCAACGCGCCACGCACGGTCGGAACTGTTTATGAGCCAACTTTGAATTTTTAACCAGTGTTTGTGGTCCCCAGTGCGAATGAAGGTTAGTTATTTATTTATTTACATAGAGACATGCATCGCCTTTCTGCATCATAGCCAGGGGGTGTACATAATGTACGTAAAATTTTAACAAAAATATCGAAATACAAACCAACTTATACGTTAAACACATTCTTCGATAGCCAACATTTTCCATTCTTCTATGTTTCTTTGTAAAAAACGAAAACGCAAAAACATCGGCATGGCAAAAGTATGGTCGTATTTTGTGGTAGGCCCTTCCCGATATATAAAAAGGTTCATGTAAAAGATTTCTCGACTGATTAAGAGGTGACTGTTATATATATCATATTCGAGAGAGGTGGTATTGATTGCAAATTGAGTAACTGCAAGTTCAGTGTTTTAGTCGCGTGCTTTACAAATTGCTTCGTCCGCGTCTAAATTTTTTTATGTATCGGGAATCTTGAAGTGATAAAACACTGGTTCTCGTATATTAACCTGCGACATTATCATGGAGCGTTCAAACTTTAAATGCTCAACTACTGCTCGTTTCAGCTAAAAGTGGTACTTCGGGGTTTTCTTCATAGTCTCCGATCTACTCGAAAATTTGTTTGACGCGCCAACAAACATCGCTGAAATAAAAACCGAAATATTGGGCAACAATAATTTTTTTCCGAAGTTATTGAATTTGCAGTAGTGGTCCTCTTCCTAATTTTTCAAATGAAAATCTATTGGCACCTATTAACAAGTGACGTCAGCGGATGACAGAGGCTCACACTTTGGACTCTAGACTTTGTTCCCAAATGATTGAAAGCAGTTTCATGTGTCAAATGACTGCTGTGGAAGCTCGCTCATGCAACCACGCAGAAGCACACAAAAATGCTCAGCCTCGTCCATTTATGGACTAACCGCTCGGCCTGCATGTCTGTCTTCCCCAGCCGTCACGGCAGTGAAGAGCTCAGCCTCGTTGTGTTCTTTGTGGGTTTTGGCTTCATTTTTATTTGCCGATTCCACCATACATAGTTCGAATTTCGCGATACTAAATAGTACACCGGAAAGTGTAAAGGCCAGGGATTAATAAAAATAGTTAGATTAGCTCTAAACAGTCCGCATGATTACCATTTTACTAGGGACACAGCCCACGCTAGGAGTTGATAGGACCAATCAAGCAACTTCTAAAGTGTAAGTTAGTAGGCCTCTTCTGCTTATGATTGGTTCAATGGTGATAGAACACGCACGGAAACATAACGGACATCATGATGGGTCGCTTTTCATGTTCTGTGATTGATCTCATCAACTCTAAGCATTGGCTGCGTCTGGGCTTAAGGTTGAACGAAGTATAGGTGTCCCAA